GTATCCTAGCAAAGTCGGGCACTCGTGCTTTTAGCTCTAAAGCCCTAATGGAAATGTATGTAGTAGACAGCTTGGCGCTAGGATGGCAGAAGCAGGAGGATTGCTGCAAATTCGAATCCATCTTGGTACACATAGCGAATTCCAATCCAGAGATGGCTAGTAAAAAAGAGAGAAGAATTGAAAATAAAAATTTTAAGAGACAGAGGGAGGGGGAGGAAAGAGGAAGGGAGAGAGGGAGGAAGAGAAAGAGAGGCCAAGTCTTGAGTGAATAGTTTGAGAAAGGAAGTTAGGAAAAGCTGAAAGGAGTTGACACTTGGTCGGGGGAGGAGGAGGAGACTGGACAGATGCCTGAGTCTTATCAGTGGAGATGGAGATTAAGATGTTGTAGAGGCAGAAACACGCTGGTGGTAGACAGAATGCTTAGTCCCTTGGAGATCTCAGAAGCCTCCTGCAAAGAGCATGGGAATTGGAGCCAGGACTGAGCTGGCTCTCTGGTGGGAGCAAGAAAAGGATGTGTGTGTGTGTGGGGGGGGGGGGTGCGACGCGACTCGACACCCGGGTTAGGACGAGGAGGAGCCCAGGGAGGGTGGTGATAGGACCGAATGAACAGAGTCACTGGAGCCAAGGCTGAGACTGGGTGCAGAAAAAGCGGAAGTGTAGGGATGGGAAAATTAGGAGACTGGCAAATGGGGTGGGGGTGTGGTGGTCAGATCCAAAGTGAGGCAGGGGTCCCCTAACAAGCTCCAGCTGAGCTGTGAGTTGTTATTGTTCTCAGCTCCTCCCAGGTCCCCAGGCGGGGGCGGAAACTGGCGGAGGCAGGTCCGGGTGAGCAGCTGGCAGGCCTCTGGCAGGTCTCCACGTTACAGCCCCACTGTCTCCCCACTGGGCCCTCCCTGGGCCCCTTTGGACATCAACCACTCCCATTCCTTCGCTGTACCTCAAGGGGATCACATCTGGTTTACTTCCCCTTAGCCGCCCTCCTGCCCTGGGTCCCGCTTCCGCCCCTTTGAAGGCTTCGCAGACCTAATTAGTCTACGTGTAATTGCGTCCTCTCTTTTCCCCCTTGCCACACTGGCCTCTCCAGCCATCCTCACTGCGCTACAGAAAAGAGAGGGATGGAGGAACCCCAGTGTTTGGAGGGGAGAAAACCAGCGCCCTCTTCTGGCTGCCGTGGGTCCCTATGAAATCTGTGGAGCCTCTTGGGACACTTCTGAGTTCAGGGGCCCCGGGGGTTGAGATGACATAAAACAAAGAGCCCAATAAACGCCACTGAGCTTTTAAGACAAGAGGGGAAGCAGCTTTATTGTTGGGCTTTTATATAACAACTCTTAACTCAAGTAATATGGGTGTGTTCACTTTTTATGGTGAAGGGGTGGACATTTGTCTGGAACACAAGAAACTGGGAAAGGATAGCATTACTGAAAGAGAGCGTGGGCTGGGAGATTAACAAGATGTAAGAAGTAGGTATGTTGAGGCTGAGGAAAGGAGAACCCTTGGAGGATGGAGTGAGGAGTGTGAGGAGAAAGTGATTTTGTAGTGAACAGAAGGGAAGGCTGTGAGAGAAGAGGGAGAACAGAAGAAAAAGGAGCAGAGGAGGGAAGAGAGATCATTTTAAGAGGGGGAAGAGAATCAACCACTCAGAGCTCACCTGAGGTAGAGGGGAGGATGCCTCACAATATGAACCTGACACTCACGCCCATGTTTTCTTTTGCCCGTACCAGGATATGAGGAAGACATGGAGGCGGTGAGTTCCATTTTTACTGTTTCTTCCTTTCAACTACCTGCAACCATAGCCATCACCTCCTCTCCAGACCCAGATCTTTGTCTTTGTCTCCACTTACCAATAGGCCTTCTGGAGTAAGGCCTCACCTGTTTCTGTTAAGAGCAAGTGGGTTAGGAAAAGGGGTCTTCAGAACCAGCATCAAAAGACAGGAATGCTGTTAACTTCCTGATCCTTCCTTTGTCCAGATTTGATGTCCCAACACCCAAGTCATCTAACTCAGAGGAAGAGCTCCCTGAAGATTACCCTGTGGTAAAAAACATGCTCCACAGACTCACAGGTGAGGAGGGAAGAAGGGAGGGATCATAATCTGTGCTCTCTTTGCTCCCTTTCAGCTGTCAAAAATGGCCAAAACCCTTTGGGTATCTGTATCGGTTTTGATTTCCTAGGGCTGAAATAACAAAGTACCACAAATCGGTGACTTGAGAAACCATCCACACCTCAAAGTACAGAGGTAGAAGTGTGAGGGCTTAGGAGAAGTCTGTTCCATGCCTCTCTCCTGGCTTCTGGGGAGGCTCAGCACTCCCTTGACCCACATATGACCTTACTGGGCTTCCTGTGTGCCTGTTTCTGTGTCCAAGTGTCTCCTTCTCCTTTTAAGGTAGCGGTCATACTGCATCAGGGTCCACCCTAATGATCTCAGTTTTTACCTGATTACCTTTGTGAAAATCCTTTTCCCACATAAGGTAAATTCAGAAAAATTTGGGAACAAAATTGAAATGCCCCCTGTCTTTCTAAACACACACACACGCACACGCACACGCACACGCACACGCACACGCACGCACACACACATACACACACACTATGTATCCCAGGCTGGTGCAGAACTCTAGCCCTTCCTGCCTTCCTGTCTCTGCCTCTAATGTGCTGAGGATATGAATATGTAACACCACACCTGGCCAGGAGGCACAATTTAACCCAGAACAAAATCTGTAATTCCTCAGATCTCAGTCACTTTTCATTTTCCTTTTGTGGTCACCCAAACAGTACAAGATCACTCTCAGGAATCCCCACTTCCACTCTCTCCCCTTGCTTTTCTTGAGAAGGGTCCCAAGATTCCAGCATCTCCTACCCCTTTGCCCATTCCCAAGGTAGCTCTCCATTCGTTTTTTACAGTGCCTGGAGATGTTCCACCCCTTAGTCACACATCCATCCCACTTCATCCAATTTACTTCTCGTTCCTAAGAAGTATTTCCTTAAAGCACCCCATACCTACAAGGCCAGTGGCTTTTTCTGGTCCCTTTAGCGATCTCTGTTCTCTGTCTCTCCTCTGGCCACACCTCCTATAGAAACTTGGAGGGTGAGTGGCCTGGTTTTACTGGATACCTTGGTGTCCTCCCTTTGCCCCTCCTTTAAACACTTTGGTTCCTATCAGGTATCAGTCTCTCTCAGTAGTCTTGCTGACCTGGCTCCCAAGCCCCACCCAGATGCTGCAGATTCAAGGGTTTATGCTTTGTTTTGTTCATGAGAAAGGGTCTTATTATGTAGCTCTAGCTGGCCTGAAACTTGCTGTGCAGGCTGACCTCTAACTCACAGAGAGCTGCCCTCTCTGCCTCCCAAGTGCTGGGATTAAAGGCATGTACAGTGCTGCTTGTAGCGGGTTGCAGTATTAGTCCTCATTCTCCCTAGGTCAGCTACTCTTCCTCCACCAACACCACAAACCGGACGGCCTCCCCTCCCATCTCCACGCTGCAGTCCCTGCCCTGGACCAGCATGGTCCTTGTCCAAATCCAGTTCCACAGAGGTGCCGCATCATAGCGCAGGGTGGCCAGCCTCCGCCTGCTCTGTGCCTTAGTTCTTTCCGATCCCAGTCACCCTTTGAGCTGTCCTGGGGACTCAAGCACTTCTAAGTGCACTCACTTTCTCTTCTCCACCCTTCTCGGACTCAAGAAATTTGACCTGTGGTGTTCCCCTATGCCTCTCTTCTGCAGCTGATCTGACCCTTGACCCTCGCACTGCACACCGTGGTCTGCTCATCTCCTCTGACTACCGCGGCGTGAGTCTGGCTCCACCTGGAACGCCAGAGCCGCTGGACAGTCCCGTGCGCTTCGATCAACTCCCAGCGGTGTTGGGTGCGCAGGGCTTTGCGTCAGGGCGCCACTGCTGGGAGGTAGAGACCGTGAAGGGCGCGTCCTTCAGAGACTCAACCGCGGAGGATGAGGATGGAGGAGAGAGCTGCTATGCCGTGGGCGCGGCCGGGGAATCTGTGACACGCAAGGGCCTCATCAAGCTGTGCCCATCGGAGGCTGTGTGGGCCGTGGAGGGCCGCGGCGGCCGCCTGTGGGCGCTCACGGCCCCAGAGCCCACTTTGCTAGGCGGCGCCAGGCCCCCGCCGCAGCGCATTCGCGTGGACTTGGACTGGGAGAGGGGCCGTGTGGCCTTCTATGACGGCCGCTCCTTGGACTTGCTCTTCGCCTTCCAGGCACCGGGCCCCCTCGGGGAGCGCGTCTTCCCGTTGCTCTGCACGTGTGATCCCCGAGCCCCTCTGCGCATCGTTCCGGGAGAAGGCTGAGGGGTCTGGTCACCTACCTCCTAGCCTAGCCTAGCCCGGATGCCTCGAGGCTACTTCTCTTCCGTGCAGAAATCCCCACCTATTTCAGTGATCTTGTCTGTACACCTGCCGCAGCAGGAGTATTAATAAGCACCCTTTACCCACTCACATTCTTTCTCCCAAAGCAAGACCTCAAACTGGCTTGTACAACCGTGCCTTTAAGCCAGTCTGGTCCTGCGTCTCCATGCCCTAACCCAACCTCTTCTTTGAGTTCCCTTTCTGTACCATTCCAGACAGGGATAGAGAAAGGCTCTGTACCACGAGTACTGGGAAACAGTCCACATTTACCTCCAATCCCAAAGGGCTCAGGGCCTGATCCACAGCAGGAAGTCTGGAGCCTCCTGCTGATGTCCACTCTGAGGATTCCCCTCAAGAAAAATAAGTTCTCCTAAAATAAGATGCTTAACTCATAACTTAAGCCACTCAGACCTGAAGCCTAAAACAAATTTTGGGATGTGTATGCAAGCCAGTCCACCCTCTACATTTCTTTTATGACTGTTTTCTATGCTGAAAGCCTTTTTCCTTTAAATCCCTTCATATTGCACACAAAAGAACCAATGGTGCTACCCACCTTCTCAACCAGGGAGTGACCCAGGCATCCCAAATATCCTTGTATAGTCTCCCATCCTCCCTATGTGTATAAATCAGCCTGTATTTAACACATTGTGCAATGTTGGGTTATTTATTTTGTGCATCTGTGGCAATAAATGAGATCTCAGTGGTGGCATGGGTTCTGCTGATCTCTGTACTGTGCACAGCTAGAGGCCTGGAGGACAATACCCAGATCCCAGCACCAGTTGGGGAGGGCTGAGAGAGCAAGACACCTGGGTTGGTAGAGACATCACAGCCTAGGCAGGAAAGGGTAGGAGTATACTGCAGGGGCCTGTCCCCTCATCTCTTTGTTCTTCCCCTCTCCTTTCCTTTTAGAGACCCAGGTCCCTTGGACAACAGTGCTGAAGCTCAAAGATTAAAGGCTGAGAAAATCGTTGGCTCTAAGTCACTGGTCTGAGCCAGCTTTGTCAGAAAGGTTATATTCAGGTCACGACTATTTTGGGGTCCACTTTCCACGAGAGGTGTGACCGACAAAGACCTCTCCTAACTCCTTATAAGGGCCAGAAGGGATATCTAGGAACAGAAGGGCTGGGGACCCTATGGTCTCCACACAACCTTAGATCCCACAGGCAAGGACTGATTTAGGATAATTGCATAAGTGGAAGAACTGTAAGCCAGGATTAATATGCAGAGCTGGGGCACAAGATTGCCTGGAATCTAACTGGGGTCCTGGCAGTGAAAGCTGGGACTGTTGAAAACCCAGTTTAGGTGCTTGGGACTCAAGCTAAGGGTGCAGGTGGCCAAGATAGCTGGATCCCAGGACAGGTAGTTTGGCAGTGAGAACAAAAGGAACAGACTGGGGCCACGGTGCCTGGATCCCAGGCAAGAGGGCAAACTGTGGGGAAGAGGGAACTGGGAGAACCCAGAAGCCTGGGTTCTGGAACAGCAGCAAGTCAGAATTCCAGGATCTCTCTCCGCCCTCCTCCTCTTCCTCTTCTCTATCAGGCAGGAGAGGGAAGGAGGGGGCAGGAGAAGGGATCAGACCATGGGTTGAGTCCCCATGTAGCCAGATGGATACATTTGGGGCCAGGCAGACACATGACAGGTGAGAGGGGTTTAGTGCTGCATAGGTCCTGGAGGGGGCTGAGAGGGGTCAGGAGGCTGGGGGGGAGTGGTTGGGGTAGGTCCTGGGGTTGTATGACGCCGTCCTTTGCGGTGACCCCGGACACAGTGTGTATGACCACAGCCTTCCTCTTCATCCTCATCACTCTCGGTGGAACTCTCACCAAAGGCCCGAGGTTTCTCATAAATACAGCAGCCTAGATGGAGAGGGAGGAACCCAGTTAAAAAGGATGAAGAACACAATGTTCAGTCTGTGCCATTTCCACCAGATCTACATGAAAATTCTCTCCCACCACTGTCTCCTACCTTCCAGAATCCAGCTTCCTTAGCCTCCCATCCTGGGACTCAGGCACTCATTCTCCCTTTCTCTTCAGAGGATCAGAAGCACCTTTCTCCCACTCTGCCATGGCTTGCCCCCCAGACTTGGTAACGCATACTTTTATCCCCACCCCCATCTATGTTCCTTTCCAACCAAGAAGAGAGGAGAAGTGTAAGCAGCACGTGGGAGGCAGGGGTTCAGGAGGCCGGGTGGGGGCAGTGGCTTGGGCCGGGGCGTGGCTGTGGCTTGGGAGGCCGTGGCCA